TGGCACGTGCTTGAAGAGCCAGAGAAGATTGATAAGTCGCATATAATTTGTCTAATTCTTCACCCATAGACTCCAAAGAAGAAAGTCGTTTTTGAGCAGCTTCTTTAATAACTGTATTTTTAGTAACTTTTACTTCATTCATTATAGGACTTGTAGGATATGGAATTTTTGACCCATGCTCTTCCCATAATGTTTTAACATTTTGGTTAAAGTCTTTAAGATTTGTTTCAAAATCAATTTCACTAGGACCTTTTGAAACATTTTTCTCTGCTTCAATCAAATTATTTTTAATTTCAGTTGCAACTTTATCCAAAGCTGTCGCTTCAAAATTATACTCAACAGCAGCAGCACGTTGATCCAAGAGATCACGGGTATAATACACATGTTCATTAAGTTTATTTGCATCATTTTCAAGATTAGATTGACGTTTTTCAATGTTATTCCTGCGGTCTTTATCAGTTAATTTTTCACTAGCTTCAATAAATGCGTCATATTTAGACTTATGATCAGTTTCAAAAGTTTGTAAATGAGTTTCAACTTTTTCTTTGAATGCAGAATATTCCTGATCGAGATCTTCGCGTAAAGATTTATCTTCAGGAGTGTTAAGTTTCCATGATGCTTTGGATGCAATAAAATCCTTTGATTCTTTTAGAGAGGTATCAACAAATGGACGAAATTCTTTATATGAATCTTCCCAAACGAGTCGTTTTTGTGCAGCATCTACTTCGTCAGGTTCACGTTGACGTAAGAGTTGAATATCATCTTGAAGTACATTAAGTTTTGTATCTAGGTTGGACATCATATTATCTAGTTCTTCGGTATTAACACATTTTGTTCCGACAGATTTTATTTCAGCAACTAAATCAGCAACTTTTGCATGAAGAACTTTAAGTTCATCATTATCAAAATTATGAACATCCATTACGATTTGAGCATTTCCAGATACATAATCCTCTACATCTTTGGCAGTGAATTTACAAGGCTCTTGAAACACGTCAAATTTACGATTGTTGACAAAATCATCCTTTTTGGTAAGCCATTTTTCCAATCTAGCAGCTTCCTTTTTATACTCTTCAGCCATTTTGACAAATCTTAAAGCACGTTGATAATTTTTTAATGCTTCTTCTGTTTCTTGAAGTAAACCTTGTAAATTCTTATGGTAGGCGGCGACACCTTCACGAACAATATCATTTTCGGATGGGTCATGACTTTCATGTTCTGGATAAAGAATTTTCTCAGCCATTGAATTCCAAGAAGCTTCAACTCGATTGTTGAGTTCATTAACACGTGCAATATAATCCTTTTCCACTGATCCACCACGTGGATGATTTTCTTCTTCGATCAATTCATCTTTTAAACGGACTCCTCTCATATGGGTGTTTTCCGCAGTTTCTGAATAATCAAGAACTTGTTTTCGTTGTGTTAGAATGTTTTTGGCAAATTCAAAATAATCCTTTAATTCTTTAAGATCTTCTTCTTCAAGATTTTCTTGTCTTACAAGTAAATGTTCTGGGACTGATACACTTGATGAATCAACCAATTCATCAAAAATTTCACCCGTCGGAGGAATTATATTATTTTCAAAGTCATCAATATTATTATTGTGTGTTTGAGCTTCTAATGTAACATCACTTTGTTTAGGTTGAGATGCATCAATAAACCAACCATCTTCTCTAGGTGAAATAGGTGGTTTCCACCTGCCACGATTTAGGATAAATTCTTTAATTTCATCTGTTATTCTATCCCTAACACTCATTGCTTTACCATGTTCACGTTCCCATTTTACACGTAAAGCCAATACTAT